AAACAAGAAATTTTTATTCAAAATGCAATGTGGAATTTGAGAAATTATGACGACCCAAAAGAGAATTTGCAGCTACAACCAAGAATCAATGAAGATAAGGAACAAATAGAGAAGCCAAAAGTATATAATATATAAAAGTAGCGGTTATTAGATATCCTGGGCAATTAATATATATATATATATATATATATATATATATATATATATATATATATTTTCTGATTGGGTATTTTTTTTTGTCTCCTAACTCTGAAAAAGGAATTGACATTCCAATTCCAGCAAAATCCTGGGCAATTAATATGTTCTGTATATTAAAAATAAATAAAAAATTCTTCTTCACCCAGCGGTCGAATGGAGAGAGAGTGTGGTCCCCACCATTGTACAACATTGGAGGTAGGAGTGGGACTAACCCGGTTAATCTGATTCAACGAGAAAATTATAAATGTGTGGGCAAAGTATTGGGACCATGGGATTAGGTTTAAATTTTAAAATTCAAATTATTTTGGATGTTATTTGGACAAATATTTTACTAATCCGAGCAACTCGATGAACCCGAAAATACAAGAAAATATATATTTTAATATTTTAATGTTATACCTTATGTAAAATAAATATAAAACTAAGTGATTTAATATTTAATTATTTATATTAATTTAATTTTAGTTATGGAAATAATATGTATGACCCAAATTCAGAAAATCCAGATTGCTAATAGGGTCCTTTTCGAAACCCGAGGACACGTAAGGATACTATGGTTATTCCACGTCATCATAATGATTCTATGGTCCATAAGGGCACAACGGCCATTTGGCGTGGTCCAAGATGGTTTGAGACCCAAAAAAAAAAAAAAAAAAAGGGTAACATAGTCATTTACTAAGGTCATTAAATAATTAGGATGAAGTTCAGGGGTAATTAGGTAATTACATCAAAATTTGGGGTCAAAAGGTAAAATCAGGCCCATCCAACTGATGAGATGGCCACACCAGTGAGCTTGCAAACTACTAGGACCATCTAACCGATCAAATGGTCTCATCATTCAGATGACGAATCCAGTGAACTATCGCTCTGCTAAGCCCATCTAATCGATTATGTGATAACTCGAAATTTTTTTGAATTTTATTTTATTTTATGATTTGATTTTACTCACTTAATGATTTTAATGGGTGGTTTGATTTTGTTATTTATATATATATAGATAAAGGGGAGCTGCCGAATGGAAAGGTGATTTTGGTTTGGTGATATAAAGATGACTTTAGCCTTTTTGCTTTTGACCAAGTCATATGTATATTTATGTTGTTGGTTTCCTTGATGGAGTCGCCGCAACCAACAAAGCTTGAAAGTTGTGTGTGAATTTAGGAGGTGGCCAAGTTTTACATTTATAGAAAGCCACTGCTATCTTTCTCAATATAAAATATAGATAGGGCGAGTAGGGATCGTCCCAAGGGATTAGATGGTGTATCGAATTGTGAAACTATGATAATTAGGGTTAGTAGGTCGAATGATCACACAATTGTTGATTGATTGGTTGATTATACTAAATGAGCTAAACTATAATAAAGCAATGCAATAAGATAAAGAGTAAGTAAGAAGGAAAGGTCTTGGGGTGTAGAGATCACCACCAAACAATACTATTCCAAACCATAATCAAGTGACTAATGAGGGAAATGAATGTGTTGCAACAATATTGTGCGTGTAAAAGACATTCAATTGGTAAGGGTGACTCAACAAGTGCAAATTGTCTTAATCAACATGTGTGAGGCCACAATACATCTATTGGTAGAGGAATATATTGTCTAAACATCATGTGAAGATAACAAAATAACAATTCAAGTCATTGAACCTTTCATTAAGCTCATAGTCCAAGCAATCCATATGGATGACTTAGTTAAACATGCATTGTTTAAACATCATGTGAGATGACTTAGTTAGACAAGGCTGAGATATTTCGAAGATATTTATGGGGAAAAGGACAAAAGTGGTTGGTAGGCGTACAGCTGTGGATAAGATCAATCATTTGAATAGGACAAAATTGGGTTCGATCGATCGAAGGTGATGTTCGATCGATCGAACTTGGAATTTCAGCAAAGGCCAAGGTTGGATCTATCGAAAAGTACTGTGATCGATCATAGATGTTCGATCGATTGAACTCTAAGTTGGATCAATCGAACTTTTCAGCTGCACAACTTAATTCCTTTTTGCTCCTTTCTTTCTCCACTTTGCTCCCTCCTTTGGTTTATCTCAGGATTGCTTCAATTAAGCTCTTATTTGGCTGAGTTAGCTCAATTTTGGGATTAGTGCCTGAAAATATAAATAACACGTAATAAGTCTAAAACGGCAAAGTAAGATAGATAAAGGTACTAGAATGCTTAAGCTTAAAGGGTTTAAATGCGCACTTTTCGGTGCTCATCACACCCCCAAACTTAAATATTGCTAGTCCCTAGCAATGAACTAAGAAGTAAAGGAATGAAATGAACAACTAAACAAGTATAAACTGGAAATCAAGTAAAATGATAACACCATTTTCGTAGGGAACACGATTGCATTTAGCATATGCAACAAGCCTTTTAAACCCCTAGGTTACCCCTAGTGGACGAGTGAAGTCTTGTGAGGGTTTCCAGAAATGATACCCACAAACATTAAGCTCATTCTTTCAAAAGAGGCACCAATATTGCAAACAAGCATTGGGAGAAAACTACCTCAAGTATGCAATTTTTCAACCGTTTCCAAGCAATCTCCCAAAATCTCAACATCAAACAAGCAAGCATGGTCCTCCACACATCAAGAAAATGATCATGAAAATCGAAACAAGTCTAGAATCCATGTGAGAGGTCCGGCATCAAGTGTGTTGCTATCTTAGCCAACTAGAGAAGTAATCACATCCTTACCCTCAAACTAGCACACAAATCTAGTCCCAATCATCAAGATAAGAAGTGGACATTTTATTAAAATTTTATTGTTCTAGGTGCGCTTATTCTTTTCACTCTATTTTTTTTTCTTTTTTTTTTCTTTTTTTTATTGAGGATCAAAGATGGAAATATTGTGCAATGTGTTGATCTCTTAAGCTTTCTAGAAGATTCATGTAGCGAGCTTTAGGTCAATGACTCCCAAACCAGATGGCTTTAGGGCATTAGGTGTTAAGACACCCCTACGGACTTACAAACTCAAATCAACTAGGCTACAAATCAAGACAACAACCATCTAATCATTTCCTACTTCTCACCTTTTGGGAGAAGTCCTCACTTTTATTACTTTTGCAACTTTCTTTGTTTTTTTCTTTTTTTTTATTTTTATTTTTTATAATAATCAATTATTAACCTAATCTTTGTGGATCAAGGCGAATAAGAGGTACGAAATACTCCCCTCAAGTCTTAATATGTCGTAAACAAACGACTTTGAGATGAGTAATGATACATTTTTCGAATGTTGCATAATAATTACGTAAATAGAGATGTCGATCTTACACACTTATATTAGTATAGTAGACATGGGCCCACGTTCACACTTCCACTCAAATCAACCCCTCAAAAAATTATTTGCACTCAAAATGAATTGAATTTTAAACTCACAATACACGCACCATTCAAATTTCGAAAGCAAGACCTTAAGGACTTATTTCCTGAATCCCTACTAATGCTGTTATATCCTTGAAGATATATATATATATATATATATATATATATATATATATATATATATTATATAATCTCTTAAAATGATTTTAAGTTTGTTAGTTCTTTATTTTATAGCATAAAGAATAAGTTGCTTATTTGCTGCTAAATTTGGCTCTGATTCTGTTTCTTAGGGGCCGTTTGGCAATCATGGTTGCTTTGTGCTTTTGTTTTGACCCAAAGCAAAAGTAACATTTTCACTTTAAAGTGTGTTTAATACTATTTCGAAACTTGTTTGGTAACGTAAATTTGTTACAAGATTTTTGGAAGTAAAAACGTGAAAGCAATTTTTTGTAAAAAGTGTTGCAAGTTTGAAAAATTGAATGGCTAGTTAAAAATGTTAATTTAGGAGAATTTTTTTATTGAACAGTGTTTTGTTGAAGCAAACAAAAGCATCATTTTGATGTTTCCGATTTTGGCATCAATTTTGAAAGTGTGCTATTCAAAAGACAACAAAAGTTACCGAATATACTTTGTGCTTTTGCTTTGTTATAAATATATTAGCAAAAAAAAAAAAAAAAAAAAAAAACAAAAGCATTAGCCAAACAATACCTTAATGTTAAAAACATTTTGCTTTTATACCTTATGAAAATGTTTCACATGATTAGGTTGTAAGAAATGACAAGGGGCTGTAGTGAGTTGCATTTCCTACTATGCAATATGATGCTTTTCATAAAAAAAAAATTTCCTCTTGTAGAGCCGTAAAAGAATTGAATTGTTCATGAATAATTTGGATTCCCTACCCAGCACATTTCTCTAATATAGTGCAAGTAAAAATACCTTAAATGTGTGTTTGTATATATATATATATATATTGCTTTCTATTCTCATCGTGCAACTTTATATATTCAACTTTCTCCTGCTTCATTGAATTTCTTCATGTCGTTTGCAAATCTTTTCTTGCCTTCTCATTTATTGGAATTTATTTATTTATTGTCTCTGACATTTCAATGCTTTTTCTCAAACAATGCCCAATTGCATTGTAGGTCCTTTGAGATCTCATGTTTATTCTTAATATAATTATATTTATTTCATTCGATAGTCAAATCACCAATTTTACATCAAAAGAAATGAAACCTTGAATAATTTTAAGACAAGTCAAACCACAAGGAAAACAACTTACTGAAACAAATAAACAAAAGAACTATTTCGAAATTCAATCCCAACAGGCAGATGATCGGTGATGGCTAAACAGTGATCGACTGTGTTGACGTCATGCTGAATTATGAATTTGTAATGAACCAAACTACAAAAGTATTGTTCCAAAAATTTAGAACCAGACAGAAGCGTTAAGATTTAGGAGAGCGGACTCCAATTCAACGACAAGAGGGATGGAGGAAATTCATCACATGTTAATGCTCATAAGAAAACAAAAGTAGTATGTCTTATACATGTAAAATTATGACAAGACCAGTCCACCTATTAGTATTTTGATCAAGCCATATGCCACAACTCAGACACATTTAAAACAACTAATAGCTTAAAAAAAAAATTAATAATATGTTTGGCAGTGAAAAGGGAATGAATGAGCCTCTTAACCAACCTCAGCACAGCAAAGCACCCGTCCTTTATTCTTCTAGCTTCACTCGTTTGCTACTCAACCTCTCTGACACCTCAACTCCTTTCCTCTTTCTCGCTTCCTTGATGTTGTCTAATTCAACCCATTGCTTGAATAGATTCCAGTTTTTCAACGCTCGTTTATCAAATTGCTCTATTATAGAGCCGGGGCCGATATCAGTATAGGCAGATCGCCGAATTGCATTCACGATTTGAAGCAGTCCCTTATGATTGACACATAATCTGCATTTGTGGCCCTCCGTGCATTCTTCAAGGCATTCAAATTTCTCAAAATTAGGAATTGCACAGCCCTCCCCAATGGGAATTGCACAGCCCTCCCCAATGCATTCAAATTTCTCAGACTTGGGAATTGCACAGCCCTCTCCAATCCATTCAAATTTCTCAGGCGTGATAATTACTCCATCGCATTCAACATTTTCGAATCGCTCGATTTGGTTTATGATTTCGAGTAGTTTCTCACGATTTGGGAAGTCTTTTGAGCTTTCAAGTAGTTTCTTACGAATTACACATAATATCGTGCATTTGTGGCCCTCCATCCATTCTTGACAAACATATTTCTCAGGCTTAGGGATTGCACAGCCCTCCCCAATGCATTCAAATTTCTCAGGCTTAGGAATTGTAAATCGCAGCGTAATGCATTCACAATCCTCATACTTATGAATTGCAAAAGACACAGACTTAAGAATTGCACAGAGCTCCCCAATGCATTCAAATTTCTGAGACGTAGGAATTGCTGTGAACACCCCACCAATGGAATCAAATTTCTCATACTCATGAATTCCAAAGAACACCCTAATGTTTTCAAATTTCTCAGACTTAGTAATTGCACAGCCCACCCCAATGTTTTCAAATTTCTCAGGCTCAGGAATCGCACGGCTCTTCATGCATTCAAATTTCTCAGTCTTCGGAATTGCACAGCCCTCTCCACGCCCCATCTTTTATCCTTTTTCTTCAATTCTATAAAAGAATTGGTTCAAGAAAAATAAATAAATATCACATCCTATCATTAACAAGACCATTCTTAAATTTAACAAAATATAAAATAAGAATCCTCATAAAGACAATGGAATTAAAAGTTTCCGACCTCAATCTTTCTTTATATCAGACTTCAAGACTATTTATCATTATTTATACATAATACATTCATAAATTTGTATATCTATATATGAAAACATCTACATTATGTATACATCAATAGTTGTATATCTATATATGTAAATATCAATTGGGAAGAGAGGCAGCGTGCGTAGGGATTGAAAATCTAACCCTATTCCACCCTGATTGAAAAGAAAAAAAAATAAATAAAAAGGTCAGACAGACAGAAGAAACTGAACTGTTTTTTTCTCGGTAAATTTGTTTAGATCTCTGTTTTACTCTCAAGAAACTGAGAGAAACTGATCTGTTTCGTGCCGATCCATAAACTAACACAGTACAAATAAAATTAAAAAAAAAAAAAAAAAAAAAAAAGCAGAAGAAGAAGAAGAAGAGAGCTTACCGGTGAAATCTGCTGATGCTTCAACAAAAAGATTCACTCCTTCGGTTCTCCGACCCCTTACAAAAACCCTCGTTTCTAAGGCCTGTTTCGGGCTCCCTCAACACGGGTTAAAAGTACACAATAAGTTTCTTTTCTTGGCTTTGTTTGGAATCAATTATTTTTGGATTTGGAAAAGGAATCAGAATTAGAAAAGGAATTGGAATTACAATGAAATTTCATTTCTATGTTTAGAACCAATTGAATTTGAAGTTGGATTTAAAAGGGAATTTGGAATAAAAATAATATTATACCATTTTTGCCCTTGTTTAAATGATAAATAAAATATTTATTTTATTATCAAATATGCTCCAAAGTTACATCAAATAGACAAACAAAAAGAAAAACTAAATGATATAACTGAAATATAAAATTTACTTATTTAACAAATCATGTAAAAAAAGAGCAATTATTTTTTAATTAAAAAACTAATTTATTAAACATCACCAATATACTTAAAAAAAATCATTAAAAAGTAAAATAATCTTTGTAAACAGTTATTTGAGAGAGCGGTATGGAGTTAGTTAAATAATGTTAGAGATATAGATATGCTAGTATATATTTAATAGGACAAGATTAAATGAGAAGAAGACGGTTGGAGATTGAAATAGGTTAAGTAGATATTGTACAAGGTTAATTAAGATAATATTGTATTTATATTCCAAATCCCGTCCCGTCGTTTTAGATTGGGATTGAAACACATCAAAAATAGTATTTGAAATCTTTTTACTTTAAAATCCCATTCACAATCTAATGATCCCAAACACTGTAAATCCTATTTCTAAATCCAAATCCCATCAAATCCAACATTCCAAATACAGAAAATCACTGAAAAATATATAGGAAAATAATATTTTTGACGACTTCACGTGGTAATAAATTATTGGTATTTTCTAGCATATTAAATTAATTCCTTTTAGACAAAAATATCCTTTTATATTTGCCTTATATGTCTATCTTAATATATCAGCGAATCTATAATAATTTCTGGAATGATCCTTTCTTTTCTTTTCTTATAATTTTTTTCTTTTCTTTTTCTATTGTTTTCAACTAATATCGTATATGGCTAATTTGATTTTTACCCCAAAGAGAGAGGACAAAAACGAAAGGGAAAAAAAAAAAAAAAAAACAGAGAAAGAGGAGAAAGATTTGAAGTGGGATCATGGTTATAGGCTTTAACAGAGGTATGAAGTTGGCTATGATAGAAGACAACATTACAAAGGTATGTTAATGGAAAAGGCAATGAATTGTTGGTGGCTGAGCAAATTTCAATGGAATCGAACTGAGTATGGGGTTTTCCGGCAACCAATTCACGCATGTCTCTCTCTCAATCCTCTGCACAGCCCACTCCCTTCTTTTATGACACGATTTTAGTTTTATCCCTAGTTCTTCTTAATTGAATTTTTGAAAGAGATAATATGTTTTCTTTGTATTTTTTGATAACTTTTTTATTTTATTTTATTTTATATATGCTCTCAAATGCAGATCCACAGTATGATTAGGCTTTGTTCACTCACTCCCTACATCCTCAATTTTTTAATTTTCTCAAACATTCTGATCTCTCTCACTCCCTCAATTTTCTAGCACAAACTTGAAGCCCTGACCAAATTGAGATTACTCCCATTTGTTGATCTTGGCTTCAAAGGCTAAAAAGATGTTTACAGTAAATATTGATGGTCGGCTAAAAAAGTATTGTTATTGCAGAATCAGTGTTCTAATGTATCAATCCTTTGGGAATGTTGAAATTAATCAACTACCCGGTTGATGAACACTTTGGCAATCGATAGATAATGAAAAGGATGTGATTTTGAAGACCAGGCTTTGCTAGGAATGAGAGAGAGATGCATGATTTCTTTAGTAGAAAATAATAAAAATTGTGATTTTGGTTGAGAGAAAAATGGGGAAAGAAACTTGTTAGTACACTCGTCTTAAAGTGGCCTCTACGTAAGAGAGTTGTATGATATCGGTTTTTGTATAGTCGGGTGAAATGAAAAACGACATAATTTGATGGCAAAGAACCTTTTTCAGTCATCACATCTTTCAACCTACACCAGTTTTCTTGAACTTTTTTTTTTTGAAGGACTTTTTCTTGAACTTCTCCCTACAGTTTTTTTCCATTATCCAAGAAAATGATGACGGACAGATTGTATGAAACGTTCTTTTTTTCCATAAGAATGGATTAAACAAGAAATTTTTATTCAAAATGCAATGTGGAATTTGAGAAATTATGATGACCCAAAAGAGAATTTGCAGCTACAACCAAGAATCAATGAAGATAAGGAACAAATAGAGAAGCCAAAAGTATATAATATATAAAAGTAGCGGTTATTAGATATCCTGGGCAATTAATATATATCTATATATATATATATATATATATATATATATATATATATATTTTCTGATTGGGTATTTTTTTTTGTCTCCTAACTCTGAAAAAGGAAATGACATTCCAATTCCAGCAAAATCCTGGGCAATTAATATGTTCTGTATATTAAAAATAAATATAAAATTCTTCTTCACCCAGCGGTCGAATGGAGAGAGAGTGTGGTCCCCACCATTGTACAACATTGGAGGTAGGAGTGGGACTAACCCGGTTAATCTGATTCAACGAGAAAATTATAAATGTGTGGGCAAAGTATTGGGACCATGGGATTAGGTTTAAATTTTAAAATTCAAATTATTTTGGATGTTATTTGGACAAATATTTTACTAATCCGAGCAACTCGATGAACCCGAAAATACAAGAAAATATATATTTTAATATTTTAATGTTATACCTTATGTAAAATAAATATAAAACTAAGTGATTTAATATTTAATTATTTATATTAATTTAATTTTAGTTATGGAAATAATATGTATGACCCAAATTCAGAAAATCCAGATTGCTAATAGGGTCCTTTTCGAAACCCGAGGACACGTAAGGATACTATGGTTATTCCACGTCATCATAATGATTCTATGGTCCATAAGGGCACAACGGCCATTTGGCGTGGTCCAAGATGGTTTGAGACCCAAAAAAAAAAAGGGTAACATAGTCATTTACTAAGGTCATTAAATAATTAGGATGAAGTTCAGGGGTAATTAGGTAATTACATCAAAATTTGGGGTCAAAAGGTAAAATCAGGCCCATCCAACTGATGAGATGGCCACACCAGTGAGCTTGCAAACTACCAGGACCATCTAACCGATCAAATGGTCTCATCATTCAGATGACGAATACAGTGAACTATCGCTCTGCTAAGCCCATCTAATCGATTATGTGATAACTCGAAATTTTTTTGAATTTTATTTTATTTTATGATTTGATTTTACTCACTTAATGATTTTAATGGGTGGTTTGATTTTGTTATTTATATATATATAGATAAAGGGGAGCTGCCGAATGGAAAGGTGATTTTGGTTTGGTGATATAAGGATGACTTTAGCCTTTTTGCTTTTGACCAAGTCATATGTATATTTATGTTGTTGGTTTCCTTGATGGAGTCGCCGCAACCAACAAAGCTTGAAAGTTGTGTGTGAATTTAGGAGGTAGCCAAGTTTTACATTTATAGAAAGCCACTGCTATCTTTCTCAATATAAAATATAGATAGGGCGAGTAGGGATCGTCCCAAGGGATTAAATGGTGTATCGAATTGTGAAACTATGATAATTAGGGTTAGTAGGTCGAATGATCACACAATTGTTGATTGATTGGTTGATTATACTAAATGAGCTAAACTATAATAAAGCAATGCAATAAGATAAAGAGTAAGTAAGAAGGAAAGGTCTTGGGGTGTAGAGATCACCACCAAACAATACTATTCCAAACCATAATCAAGTGACTAAATCAATAACACAAATCAAGACACATTTTAAATCAATAACACAAATCAAGACACATTTTAGCACATATATAGGAACAAAATCGAAAAAGAAAGACACAGATTAGAACTCTTTACAGCATGTACGGTGACCTTATTAGGATCCTAGTAGTACTTGTTTAGTTCTTGACCAAAGCCTTTATTCTCTCATAAATCAGATCCAACATAATCAAATTAATGCTTTAACTCACAAATTTCCAATTTCTAAAACCAGAATTATATGCATACAGAAATCGCTACAATACTTTTGACTTATATGCAAAAAGTTTAATTATACTTTGAATTATATGCATACAAAAATCGCTACAATAATGCAGATTGTTGGTTTTTTGTAATTTAAAGAAATTGAAGGGTTACTGTTGTCTTTGAGAGGAGCAAGTATACAGTAATTCGGAGGTTCTGGGAATAGTACCCGCTAATACTAATTCACTATTTCTTACAAAAGGAAGGATGGGGATTTTCATTGTGGGGGAGTGTTTTATATAACTCCTGTGCACACAGTTCTCAAGAATTCCTTTGTTATAATGGAGTTTTCAAAAAACTGAACCAAGTAATTTTTTAAAAAACAGAAAATTATTATCAAAATTACAAACCAAGTCGGCTTTATTTTTTTTAGAGAATTAAAAAGATAGTTTTACAAAAACAAAACTTTTTATAATTGAATTTTCAGAAAATAAATTTCTATTGTGTTTAGTTTTCTCTTTTCGCACACCCTATCTGCATATGTAAATCTATGTGTTTTCACCCATTGATCTTTGACTTCCATGTCAATCTTCAGTGTTAAATCTCCAAAGTCTCCCACAGTTTTAAAAAAAAAAAAAACTCCAAATTTCGATCATGGCCATACGAAGAGAGATAAGTGAGATCAGATGTGTGACAGAGAGAGAGGAAGAGAATACTGACCTGAGAGAGTAGAAATTTGCAGCGGTCGCCGATCGGTGGGTTCGCTTTTCCGATTAGTGTTGCCGCTGCTATGTCTTCGGGAGAGAATGATGTGATGTGGTGGTTAGGGTTTAGAGAGATTAAAAGGGAATGGGTTTGGGTTAGTTTTATTTTAATTTGGGAAAGAAAGATGGGCATTTACGGTCCGTTTAGGATTGCTGTTGAAAAAAAAATAATAATAAAGTTACTTATTTTACATTAAAATCTTTTAATATGATATTACTATATTTGATAATAATAAATTTATTATGAAACACTGATTTTACATTAATATCCTTTAATATGATATTATCATATTTGATAATAGTAATTTTATTAAGGAGTATAATTATCTTTATAAAAAATAAAAAAAATAAAATTATCTAATGAAAAGGTATTACCTTAAAAAAATACCCAAAACGTAGTTTTTAAAATTTTAAATTCTAACTTAATTTAAACACTCTACTAAACTAAATTTAGTAATCATTAAAAATACTTATTATAATGATCACTAAACACATATAATCGAAATTTTTTAACATAAGCAATTTCAAACGGGCTCTAAGATGGACTATAATAGTGATCTGGGCTTGACCTTTTTTGATGGGTTAAAATAAAATATTAATGTAGTGGGATAATTAAATACTGTATTACATGAATTTACAAAAAATTAAACACAAAAAATTAAACTTGAACTTCTTCCTTGTAAAATATTTTTTTATATAAAGTTGTTTCATTTAAAAATATAGATATATATTTATTTTTCGGCGTTTGTCAAAGGTCAGAACTGAAGCACAAATTATTTTTGTTAAATATTTTAGTCAATAAATATTTTACTTAAATTTTGGATAACCAAACACCAAAAAAATAAAAAATTATTTTTAAAAAAATATTTTACGTACAAACAAAAAAATCTATAATTATCTTCACAGATCACAAGCATTTCACTACTCCAATTTCGGACTTCATTATTGTGATTGACCAGACAACTTTCGGAGTAATGCTATCTAGAGGACAATTTCATGAAAAGTTTCAATATTTTGATACCTTGAGCTCGAAACAATTGATTTTTTATTTATTTTTAATTTTTAAATAGAAACATAAAGAGATTTTTTATATGATTTTTTTAAAGAAAATGAGATTCATTGCTACAAGAATGTGTTAGATGATTCTTCAATAAGGCATATAATGTAAAACCAAGAGTTGAATTGTATAATTGCTTCTTCAACATAATTGAAGCAATATCTTTTTAAGTTTTAACCGCAATCGGGAAATCAAATAGTAGCACTAAATTTCAAGATTTAAATAGGTATAATTCATTTTCATTCTATCATCATATTTTTAGGGATTAATTTTTTTAATTATTAAAAAATTTTGCTTTCTTCATTATTCAATTAAAAAGTCTCAAACTTTAAAGAAAACTTCTGTTTTTTTTTTTTTTAAAACAACAATTTTCCATTGAACCAAGGGACCAGCGGACCCACCATTAGAAGCCTAAAGAATTGCCTAAGTGAAAATAAATAAATAAATAATAAATAATAAAAATAAAAAATTGACAATAATGTTATAATCATTAACCTTATGCTTTTTGGATTTAAAATTGTAAAAAATTTAGTATAAAATTTGAAATATAACTTTCTCTAATTTCAAATCCAAAGTATTGATTTGGTACTCCCAAATATAGTATAAGTATATATTTTGTCCAATATCAGGATCTCTTGAATTTATGTTTTAATTTTGTTTCATATTTGAATTTAATAATTGAAAAAATGACAATTTAAAATAATAATAAAAAAATAAAAAATAAAAAGTGATCAACTGGGAGTGCGACAAGGTTCAGTGACCAATTTTGGAAGAACCAAAACCTTGAGACAAATAGCTCCGAACTGTGAGGACTCAGTTTGGCTCCACGGTTCTAGTCTAAAAGTGTGAACACTCAATTGAGATTTGAGATTTGAGATTTGAGATTTGGTGTCTCTTTTGCTCCTAAATCAGACTTTATTAGGCCACCAAAACAATACAACAACTCCAAGCACCAGATTCAGAGGATTACAAATCAACCCACAAAGAAAACAACTCATTAAAACAACCAATTAAAAACAAAAAACAGAAAGAACTAATTCCAAAATTGATGGACAAAAGCACAAACCCTATGCAAAAAAGGATACATCCCTAAACTATCTCATTCAAGTAGAATTAAAGATGGGCATTCCCCAGGAATACAAATCGGAAAAGCCCCATATCTGCCCCAAAAAAAAAAAAAAAAAAAAAAAACCAGCAACATAGGGGCCAAGAACCACAAAAAAACAGAGTTCCTATGCAACAAAAGAAAACTAAGCCACAACCCAAGCATACCAGAGCAAAAGAAAATCACAGGCTCAACCATACAACAAATCCTCACATCAAGACTCAGGCGGATTAGAACAAGAGCACAACTGGGAGAGGAAGGGGAGGCATCAACATACGTACAAATCAGCCAGAGCACATTCGTACGAATCAGCCAGAGCACAAGACAAAGCAAAAGGTTAAACATCCAAATGAGGGAGTTAAGATCTGAAAACAGAATGAGGGAATCCCCATTCCCTTTGCAACCACAGCACCTCCTGCGCAGTATGGAAACCCTTTAACGTCCACATTCTGTAGCACAGAGAGAGAGAGACATAGTGTCGGTCGAGGGATGATCAACTGTGACCGAAGAGTGATCAACTGTGGCCGTTGTCGGAGATAGAGGAGGTAAAAAAACCGGAAAATAAAAATAAAAATAATATATTTTACTAAAAAAGGAAAATATTTTCCAAGGAAGGTATTTTATGTCAAAACAAATAGAACCAACAATCAATTATAAAAAAGAAAAAAAGAGAACTAATTCCAAAAACCATAAGGAGGGAACTAGAACAAGAGATCAGAAATATCCAACTTGATGGACAAAAGCACAAACCCTATGCAAAAATGGGTACAACCCTAAACTATCTCGAGATTCCTCCTCTTATAATTCTAGACTAGAAATCCCAACAGGTACATACTGATAAAAGGGAAGACATTGAGAATTGGTTTCTATAGATGTGATTTATATTCTGTTGATGAGAGTGTGAGAGAGACGCATTGACGTAGCGTAGGTTGAGGGATGCCGGTGGCTGTTGTGGGAGAGAGAGAGGAGGTAGGTGTGTTCTGTTAACTTGAGGCTGTGTAATAATTGAATTCTGAATTTGTAACAGAGCTAACAGTTTGTTTCAGTCCAGTCCAATCTTGATGGATTCTAAACTAGAACCGAACCGTAAAATTACAGATCAAAAAATTTAGCACCAGGACCGGACCGAAACATAAACTACAAACCAACAGGTCCAGTTTACAGGTTATTTGTGCACCATATGATCAACCATTAAGATTTAGGAGGGAGGGCTCCAATTCAAGGACCCCTCAGTTCCTTGTAACACGCTGAAGGGAGGAAGTTCATCACATCTTAATGCTCATAAGAAAACAAAAGTATTATGTCATATACAAGTAAAATTATGCTGCATATTAAACAAGTCCATGACATTGACGTCCAGGGATTGGTATTTTGATCAAGCCATGCTTTTGCTTTTCCTTGCATGATGTTTACTTTTTACAATACTACTCAGAAACATTGAAAATGACTACTAGCTTCAAAAAATTTAATCAACTCAGAGAAATAATAAGGTAAGCTTTCACTGCAAAATTCCCATAATAGCCCTAACTATCCCAATTCTTACCATTGGGTTCTGAAGAATTTAGCAAAGCTTCTTTCTAACACACTAATTTTAACTAGAACATTTCTTATTGATACCCAACAAAACTTTAAACGCAAAAAAAATGGATACACCACATAACTGACATAAAAGACCAACCAAAATAATAAAATGAAGCCTCCACAAAAAGAGGTATCAATTATATATTAGAAGTTCCTATAAAAATGGGAAATGCCTACCTATGAGTGTAGGTTTGAACTATTGATTTACAACCAAACCTAGAAATCGATACCTCTACAGTAACCTTAACACTGCCTCAACTGAGAACTGAAGAGTAGCGGCAGCAAGACATCCTTGGATGTGAAAAAGGAATGAATGAGAGCCTCTTAACCAACCTCAGCACATAACCCCCTATCCTTCATCCTTCTCGCTTCACTGTTTTGTCAGCAATTCTACTCAACCTCTCTGGCACGTCAACTCCATCCCTCAAAACCCTCTTTCTCACTTGCTTGTCAGCAATTCTACTCAACCTCTCCGGCACGTCAGCTCCGTCCCTCAAAAGCCTCTTTCTCACTTCCTTCGCGATATCAACTACAGCCAACTGTTGTAACATGAGTTCATGTTTCATTCGCTCAATTCGTTGGACGGTTTCAGAGTGATTCTTAAGAATTTTGCAGATTTCCGTGCTTTCTTGCGAAACAAATTTCTCAGGCTTAGGAATTGAATGGCACAACCGGCATTCTTGCCGCCAAGCAAATTTATCAGGCTTAGGAATTGCACAGCCCTCCGTGCATTCAAATTTCTCAGGCTTAGGAATAACAAATTTCTGAGGCTCGGGAATTGGACAGCCCCCAAATTTCTCAGGCTTTGGAGTTGGGAATTTCTCAGGCTTAGGAATTAGGAATTTCTCAGGCTTTGGAATTGCAGAGTCCTCAATGAATCTCTCAGGCTTTGGAATTCCACAGCCCTCAACGAATTTCTCAGGCTTAGGAATTACACAGCCCTCTGAACCACGCCACATCTTTATCTTTTTCTTCAATTCTATAAAGAATCGATTCAAGAAAAATAAATAAATATCACATCCTATCATTAACAAGTCAATTCTTAAAATAGACAATGGAATTAAAAGTTTCGGATGTCGATCTTTCTTTCTTTATATAAGTGATTGTATAATGTCTATATGATATTCATATATTTGTATAGCTATATATGTAAAGATATACATGTATGTATACAGATGTTGATGAGCAATGAAATATCAATTGGGAAGAATAGAGAGCTTACCGGTGAAATCTGCCGCTGCTTCAAGAACGCTTCACTCCTTCAATACTTCGACTCCTTACGAAACCCCCAATTTCGTAGCCCTAATTTTGCGATTGCGATTGAGATTGAGAGATGAAAGACTTTTTAGATATAGTAACTCTTTCTTAGGGCCTGTTTGGGGTTCCTGCGCCCTCTACACGGGCTTTTAAATTCATAAAGCCCGTTTGAGAGTATGTGCTAGTCTTTTTGTTTGAAACCAAGGTGGACAAAAATCCATTACTTCAAAAAGCCCGCGAAAGAAGTACCGAGGGAGGAGGTCTTGGTGCCTCGTCAAGTGTCCGGTTTGAATGAGTCGGTGTACTGCATACTCAACACATTTAATATTTATTTCTTTTTAGGGTTGCAGTTCTTAAATATCCGGCATTTTGACATTTGTGAAGTTTTAGTTATGTAAAAAATATATACTCATCCCACATCTCTTTCTCTTATTCAAGTCCATTTTTTTTTTTTTTTAAATAAGTGTTGAGTGTTTCAAAATTATATATATTGACTACTATTATAATCTCTTAAAATGATTTTAAGTTTATTAGTTCTTTATTCTATATCATAAAGAATAAGTTGCCTTTTTGTTACTGCATAACAATTCAAACTCTCAACGCGTTTCTATGATACCTTCCATTGCAAATAAAGGTCCCTGCAGTTTACTTCCGGACGATCCCACCACCATTGTACAACAGTGGTTGGAGCCCACATCCTTTTTTTATTACTTTTTTTTATATACTAGGAAAGAGAATTCCAAGTGATTAAAAGAAAATTGATAAATTATAAATTATTTAACTTGATAAGGGGAATAAAAATAAAAATTAAAATTAAATTAAATTTGGAGAATGATGCAAGAACAAAATTACATTTAGAAATTTCCAGCCGATTTATTTTATTTTATAATTTGTAATATCTGATCTTTTGAAATTACCAATACAAGTCATATTAAATCTAATTTGTTAACAAAAAAAGGTTAAAATTTCCTATGGGGGGATTATGAATTTCTCTAATTTTATTCAATTGGATGAAAGAAAATAGAATAAGATGACATCCTACTTTGTTCGTTAGGAGAGGACAGGAGAGAAGAGAGAATTTACTTATCCCTATTTTTATTACTTATTTGACTCTTTATTATGTTATAAGTACAATTAATTTACTCTAATTTATTGTTAGAATCATATTTCATCATACAAAAATAATTTTAAAAAAATAAAAAATAGGCCACTTGCCTTGAAAAAAAAAAAAACAGTATTCCGTTAATAAATATAAATTATAGAATGTCAATTACAGATTGTTAGAAAAAGATAAATTGAAATGATTATTGTAAATTTTAATAATTTTATATTCCATTAAATGATTCTTGTAAATTAGGAAGGGGGGAAAGGAATCCAAAGCAAATGACAAGGTTAAGATAATTCTATATTATATTTGTCTTAAGTGCAGAAGACTTACAAGGAAACGTCCACCACTTTTAACCCAGGAATTAAGCTTATCGAAATGCTCTAATTGAAGTAATTGATCCAATCCTCTCCGACTCATATATGTATATATATATAATTGATCCAATATATATATATAAAATAGCTCAATATTCATCTGTCGACACAAAACCTCAGAATAGTAGCTCACTATTCATCCACAGTAACAAACATACCTCTAGTGACTTTCGGTGGAAAAGCCGGGATTTCCATCGCAAATTCCGCAACAGTAGTCAGAAGTTCTTCTATATATAAAACTCATTTTCATTTGTAAAGATTTAAACTTTTCCTTTCAAATTTATTTCTGGCTTTGCTTCCTTTCTTATTGTATCCAACCACAATATGTCACGTACAATAGAGTAATTGTCTACTCTTCTCAGTGATTTATTAAGTGTATTTTGTACTTATGTTCATATAATCAAAAGTTAATTTTAGTAATTATACTTCTTTTCTATTTATATTTATTTACGCTTTATGCTTTAAGCTTTTATTTATTGAAATGTTTGTACTTATGTTGTTCATATAATCAAAAGTTAATTTTTATTAATTGTACTTATTTTCCACTATATATATATATATATATATATACACACACATATACATATAAATACTACAGACATCAATAAATTGATCATATTTATATGTGGATATGTGTATATGTAAAGAGTGATAGTAGGAGAGAGTATCTTACATGCACGAGAGATATTGGTTGACAGAGTCAGAGTTTTTCGGGTTACGTTTTTATAAAAGCTTCACTTATTTTCTTTAACGTCTTTCATTCAAATTTGAACAGATAAATACATAATATTTATAAACAAAAAGGGTTGAGTTATTCCTCCTATCTATATTTTTAGTTCTCTTTTTGTTTCTATTCAATTTTTAGAGTTTTTGTATTTGAATTGCGGATCGGACAATATTAATTGTAAACTTGGGAATTTGTTGATAGTTTGTTTTCTTATATTCTTTTAATTGAACGATCTTGTTTTATGTTTACATAAATACATGTTTACAAAGATGATATTCTTATAAGTTGAGTTCCAAAGAGTTCATATGAGGCCCATTGTAATTGACACCTAAGCCGCCAATTAGATTAAAATTAGTTGCGATAATCAACAAGGGAAATAAATAAATAAAGAAAAAGGAAGTGTTATGACATTATTACTCATTGTTTATTACATTCTAGGATGAAAAAAAATAAAAATAAAGTTGTTTCATATAAATCCCCTGTTAATAGGGTTTCTTCTCACTCCTCAAACCTAGAGAGAGAAGAGGGTGATAATGAAGGAGAAGTTTGTGAGCATTTTTATGGTGGTGAGGACCCACCAATGGCATCCCCACGGTTTGATTTTGGGTGGGATTTTTTTTTTAATCCGTTTGATGGTGTGAAAACAGCGGTGGTCAATGGGTTTAGTCAAAGCTCTGATGATGATCTGAGGGCTGTGAGGGAGGCAGAGGGGATACCAGAGTTGGAGGAGGAGGATGAAGAGAGAGAAAGTTCTGGAGAGAGAGAGAGGCTGTAATGGTGGATGATGGTGATGTGGGACATGAGGAGGAAGTGAGAACAACAGTGGGTGATGCTAAGTTGAGCCAGGGGGAACACAAGGGACTTGAAGTGATTGATACTCCTACAAGTGGGAGAGAACTGTTGGAGGCACTGAAAGATGTGGAGGACCATTTTGTTAGGGCTTATGATTCTGGTGTGGAGATTTCTAAGATGCTAGAGACCAATGTGGTTCATCTTCAGCCTGATTTGGAGGAAATTAAAGGTGGGTTCTCTTTCTTTTTTGCTTTTCATTTCACTTTTGATTTCATATCATGCCTGCTTTTTATTTCACTTTCGATTTTAGACCATCCAATGAATGTGCTTTTCTCTGATTCTTGCACTCGATTTATATATGATTTTTGGAATAATTTTGTTTGTTTGTTTGTTTGTTTGTTTCTAGGGAAAGAGAACCAATAAAACAATGGGTCCATGATGATTGAAAAGACTATATGCTAACAATTTTATGCAAAATAGGATTGATTGGGGTTTATGTCCATTGCAATTCCTAGAAAGTAGAATCCAAAAAATTGTTAGCTAGAAAGCACATATATTCTTATGCACACACAAGTCAACGATATTGTTTAAACTGAACTCAAATTTGAAACCGCAAGGTAGTAACCTGAGACCCTATCAGAAGTAGCAAGTGGAGGTTTCCAATTTCATTTCGACCTAATTTTCTCCGAAAGCCAAATTAAAGATCTTCATTTTCTTGTAGAGTCCTCTTGATTTTCATTAGTAATAGTCTCCAACTTAACTAATGTATTAGTTAGTGTACTTGTCTAAAATTAACTACCAATTGTTTTGTAAAAGTTAAGAGTCATTGTCTGCAGTTTACTATGTTGCACATATGACATATTATTCTTATATAATAACTAGCAATTTGTTTAGTGGATAATATATTCAACCATATTGGCTAGCCCTAAATGTGTGGGATAGAGGACTGTGAATGCAGCCGATCTGGCTAAGGAACCATCAATCTTATTAATTTATTCATTTTTTTTTTTTTTTTTGGGTAAATCTATTAATCTGTTCATTATGCACGACATTAGGCAACAGAGAGGTCAAATAAACTTTGTCATGATTTATCATGGCATATCTTTCTAAACTTTGTCTGTGACATGATTCATCATGGCATATCTAGTATATTCTCTTTGGGATTCATGGTCTTGCAGGTCTCTTGAAGGCCATTATCGAGTTCTGAACCATCAATTTCTGTAAATGAACTCCAACAACACAATCATTTTCCAATATTTGCATCTGATTGGCTGTGGGAGCACCTTCGCAATCAGGAAGCAGTAGATCTAGTACAGCGTAAGATGTTAATCTCAGCACTAAATTATGCATTAATGAAACAGTTCAGATTTTGCTTCTCACCAATTTCACCAATATCAATTTTTTAGGGGTTGACAGTATAAATTATGCTATTCTTTTTCCTTCTTTTGGTTATCACTTAAATATTCCGACTTTTGTGATAGATGTATAGTACATAAATTTTTGTTTCCCTAGGGTAGATATTTGTTGCATAGTTCTTATTCCATGCTCCTCTAATTGATTTTTGCTGATGCAATGCATGTTCGCGCGCATTTACTCATCAACTAGGATTACCAGTTTCTCCTTGACGCTTCATGAATGAGACTAGCATTAACCTTAATATGAATTATTCATGTTCTGAAATATTTTGCTGACCATTTTACACATTATTAATTCATAATGCATCAAATTATTTTTGTTTACATTAAAAAAATTGAATCATAACACAAATCAAGACACTTTTTAGAACATTAATAGGAACAAAATCGAAAGAGAAGACACAGATTTGAGCTCTTTTCAACATTCATGGTTTAGTTAGTTATATGTTGGTAACCCTGTTTACAACCAGACAACCTTATTCCAGAGGAGTTATCGGATTCATCAACACAAACCATAGCAGGCCATCAACCAAAGAATTGAAGTCTTTAAAATTTTCCATACGTAAAACATACCTTCAAAACATTTTTTTTAGTATGAGAACAGAAAAATTGTATATGCATTCACCAAGAATGAAGCATTCAAGAAACAGATTTTGACAGAAACATCATCCGGGAGTGTGGTTTTCAATGATACATTCATTCAAGTACTGCC